GGGGGCCATCTTTGGAGACTAGCTACCATGGTCACCAACAGCTTGGTCCTCTTCATCTTCTTGACTTTTTTTTTTTTTAGTTTTATTTAATCGTCTTACTTGACTTCTTAACAGCAGTTGACCTAGTTGATTGCTCTTTTTCAAAACTTTCCCTTCTCTGGCTCCACAGACCCCTGGCTTTCCTCTTCCCTCTCTGGCTTCTCTTTAATCTCCTTTGCTTCCCCCAGAACTTGAAATATGGGACCACCTCAGATTCTAGGCCTAGGCTTGATTATTTCTCTATAATGTCTCCCTGCATAATGTTACTTGTCCCATGGTCAGTGCCTACCACCCAAATGCTGATGTCTCCCAAGTTTTACCTCTAACGCTACCTTTTCTCCTCTGCTCAGAACTGGGATATCCAGCTGTCTTCTTTTTACTTCTCTTTGGATGTCTGATGGGTATTACTGATTTAATACATCCATTTCTCCACCCCCGTACTCCCCCAGCCTTTTCTATCTCAACAGATGGCATCATTATCCATTCACTGCCCAAGCAAAAACCTAGGGGTCATCTGGGATTCTTTCTCCCCTCCTTCCAAGACTTCCACTTCCATCCAAACCACTAGTAAGTAAGTCCTCTCTGTTCTTTGGGGCAGGCTTCAACATATTTCTTTAAATATATTTTTTATTGCCTAGCACTGATATATTTATAGAGAAAAAAGAGTATTATATTACTAGGTTTATCACATGAAAGCAGTCTGTTTCCCCATTCTGAATTCTCATTTCCCAAAGCAACCACTCTCAACTATTTTGGTTAGTTTTTCTGCCATTTACGTCTGTACTTTAGAATTTCTCATATAGATAACTCTTTCCTGCGTTTTCAGTTTTCAGTATTATCTGTTTACTTTCACCCGTGGGAATGAGGTTTAGCTTTCTTATATGCCTGTTTTGTGCCCCCCCAAACACACTTACCCTTCTTGCATCTCCAGGGCTGTGTTATCACAACTTTTGGTTAAAGTTTCGTGCTCATGACAGTTCAGTGTTTATACGTGAGAATGACTACCTGAGTGTTGTTTACAGCCAAGCTGAGTAATGTGCTCTGATAAGAATTCCTTTATTCCTCCCTCCGGAGTTAGTACTTGTCATCTCTTTTTGGGTGTGTGCTTGCTGTTGAGAATTAAAAAAAAAAATTTACAAATAATTATAGATTTATGGGATGTTGCAAAAATAGCATAAAGAGGTCCTGTGGACCCTCCACCCGGTTTTCTCAATGGTAACATCTTACATAGCTGTCATACGTTAGAATGGGGAAACAGATGTAAAATCCACAGACCTTATGCAGATTTCACCAGGCCTCTCAGTTTTAACTGCGTGTACCTGAAAGTCACCACTTCCCTCCACTTTGACCGCTACAATTCTTGTCCAAGCTGCCGTAGTGTCTCCTAGGATTGCCATAACAATCCTTCTACTGTTGTCCTTCTCCAATCCATTTCCCACTGAGCAGCAAGAGGGATCGTCTAAAAACATTATTAGGTAGGTCAAATCCTTTATCACCTCCCTGTCGCCCTTAGAATAAAATGCAGACTTTTCACTGTGACCTGCAGTGCCCCAAGGGACCTGGCTCACGCCTGCCTCTTCAGGGACATCGGGGTGTACCATCTCTTGCCTGGACACCTTGAGCACGCCCTTACTGTTCCTCTCAGCCTGCATGCACTTCCTGCTGTTCTTGGAAAGGCAGGCTTCTCTTCCAGGTCTCTGCCCCACAGCCCCCTCCTCAGGTTCTCCCGGGTTGTCTTAACTAAAGTGTCCCCTTATCACCTCCTACATGGAGATGATCTCAGTCTATACTCATCAGACTTACTCATTGGTTTACTTAATGTCCATTCTGTAGACAGTGTTGGTTTTGTGGGTAAGGAACTTGTCTGTCTCGTTCACTGTTCTGTTCCCATCATCCCGCCCAGGGAATTACACTTTCTGGTGTGGAGTGTGCACTTAGTGAATGTGTGAATGAATACTGATTGGGTCGGGGCTCCTGATGATGAGCCCATGTGCTCAGGGAGCTGTTATAACAACCAGCCATGGTGAGTTGCCCTAGAAGAGAGGCAAAGGCCTGTCCTCAGACTGAACCCACAATAGCTTCCCCTCTCTCTTCCCATGTTTTTCAGGATATAGAAGAAATAAAATAACGTTTCTTTCTTTGTAATCAGCTTATAAAATCGTAGAGCCTGCTTTTTGTGCTAACTCCTACTCATGACTCCTCTGGGAAGCCCTTTAGCCTGGCTACTTATGTATTCCCATGGTACCTTCGAGAGGTCTCATTGACATTTAATGAAATTCACCCATTTTCAATATGTAGTTTGATGAGTTTTGACCCAGCAAACATGCATTCATGTAAGCATTCCAGAAAGTTCCCTTGTGCCTAGGCTGCTGCTGCTGCTTTTTATTTATTTATTTATTTATTTAAAAGATTTTATTACTTATTTGACAGAGAGAGACACAGTGAGAGAGGGAACACAAGCAGGGGCAGTGGGAGAGGGAGAAGCAGGCTTCCCACTGAGCAGGGAGCCCGACACAGGGCTCGATCCCAGGACCCCAGGATCATGACCTGAGCCGAAGGCAGACGCTTAACAACTGAGCCACCCAGGCGCCCCTAGTTCTTTGCTTCTTACTGGACTGTGGATTTCCTCAGCCAGAGGCTGTGTCTTACCTCTTGGCCCAGAGCCAGGTCTTTAATGTTTTTATACAAATAAATGAGTCCAGCCCAACCATGTGATTTGGAACGGTAGAGAAGTGAGGCATTGAAGAGTGAAGTGACCAGGGTCATCCGGTCCTGGCTCCCACCGAATTCAGGAAACTGCTTTCCTGCAGACTGGGCAGGTGGCCTCCACTGACCATGCCCACTGCTGGGCGCTGCCCACCAGCCAGGGCCCCTTCTGGCTGTGGAGCCATACTCGGCCTCCATGGAACTCTTCCACTGGTCCCATGTTGCCCCCCCTACACCGTGTGTCCACTTTCTACACCTTTCCTCCAGGCAATGATGTCTCCTGGGAGTCTTCATAGGACATGCTCCTCTCTGAGGGGTCCGGGGGAGCATTCGGAGCCTGAGTCTCCTGAAGCTGAGAGCCCTGGGCAGGAAGGCAATGCCGCCTTTGTCCTGGGCTGCATGGGAGAGAGCTGATGACCCCCACCGGTGCTTTGCCAGGACTCCGAAGGGATCCAGCTCCAACATTTCCTCTTCCCCTGAGGTGGCTGCTTTCTCCTGTAAAGACAGACATGCCCTTCACAGCATGGAAGCTACAAACACTGGGAGGAGGCTGGAAGATGCAGATCACAGGTCCCCTGGACACCATATAGATTTATTGGTTGGCCGGTGAAAGAGTCCCTGTGTTCTCCTCATGGTGACCTCCTTGCCCTTCCCGAGGGAGTCCCTAGATGTTGGAGAGACCCTTGCACTGTGCCCTTTGCAGCTAGTCCTCTGTCTGCATGGATGATCCAGTCAGAAATGGGGGTGTAGAAAGGGGCTCTGTTGCTATCGGCCAAGAAGAATTCCATGCCCCAAGGTAGGGACCGAGATGGCTGAAGGGGACATAGGAGGGGGGTGAGGAGGAGTGGGGGATAGGTTGATGGGTTGGGGCCTGGGGCATGTGTGCAGGAACCAGGACAGGCCCCAGCCCTCTTCAGAATTAGCCATGTCACTGTGGCCATCCTGCAGCCTCTATAAGACCTCCTGACTTGCTCAGAGAGGACCAGATGGCTGTTGTGGCCTGCCTCTGAGAGCCCACAGCATGTTCTTTCTTGACTTACATGGTGAGGCCTAATGGCCCAGACTTTAAGCTGTAGGGCGCCTGCGCCCGCCCATTCTCCCCTTCTCTTTTCCTGCCTTCCTAGGGCCCCTGGTTCTCTGATGGCCTCTCTGTGGCTTCTCAAGCTAGCCCCACCCGATGCTGGCCTCAGGTTCTCCTCCCCCAGGTGTGGCTGCAGCACCATCTCCCAGGACCCTTCCTCCGTAAGTGTGGCTGCTAAACTCCAGGGGAACCACACCCCAGGGTATGACAAAGGCCCCATAGGAGGCTCTACACAGTGGTATTCTCAGAGTTGAGGCTTCACACATGGCTTCCCAATTCCTTCCAGAAGCTCCTTCCAGCTTTAACTCTTACTACCCCAAGGGTGGCATTCAAACTCCCTTCCCCCACAAAGGCTCTTTTTATTTTCTTGGCGTGGCACTCGAAGCTCCAAGCAGGGCAGAGCAAGAGGAGCCTGTGTCCCCTGGTGTTCTCTGGAGACCCCAGGCTGGCTGTGCCATGCTGAGTGGTGTGGGCCTCATGGTCGGTGATCCAGGCAGCTCCCTCTCCAACTTGCAGGCTTCTCTTGCCATCTCTGGGCGTGGTCACCGCACGGCCACTGGCAGGGCACGGGCATCGATAGGCGGTGTCAGGGAAAGTGGGGGCCAGTGGCATGAATTTAGACCCTGGGCCTTTAAGTAAGTGCTCAGAGTCAGCCTACATCGTGAGGAATACCAAATGAGTAAGCCTCTGGATAGTGTCCACCCCCTTCTCCCACATTTCCTGGCAAAGCCGGTTGATTAGGCTTTCTGGGGGGCCCTGAGACCACCCCGTGGTCCCATTCTAGCTCCCAGCACCCCCAGGATGACCGCATCTTCACATGCTACTCATTGACTTTTAGGGGAGGGAGCCAGGCCCAGACTGCCCCTCCCCCACTCCCCCCCCCCAAGTCCTGGATATAGGCGTGTGTCGGATTTAAGAAGAGATGCTTGTCCTAACATCTTGATGATGTGGGCTGCCACTGTGCCACCTCCCATGCTTCCTCTCGGTGCCCCAGTACCTCCCCTCTCTCTAGCAGATGTCACTTGAGGGGGCGTTTCTGAGAACAACCAGATCCAAGAAGAAAAAGCAGACTCTACCCCGTAGCACTTGTTAGCCTATTGGGCCACGTGGCTTGGCCCACATATGGGCAGGTTTGTCTGTCGTTCCCGCCAGGTGAGTCAGCGGAGATGGAACGTTCATTTATTGGGGCAAATGTACCATGTTAGAATGGTTCTGAAAAGTCCAGCATGCAGTGCTCCCTGCCCCCCCCCAATCCTCCAGGTCCCCGAGAAACCAGACCCGGGGGCAACAGGGGAGGGGAAGGGCTGATGAAGGCAGGGAAGAGGGAGAGTTCAAGGTGGCAGTTCGGAGCTCCTAGATGCGCTGCTAGGGGAAGGGAGGCGGGCCTGGGGACAGGCGGAGGAGCAAAGCAGAGGAAGGCAGGGAGGCATTCTCCAGAGGCTTGGTTTTATTGTGCAGTTCTCTTTGTCCTCACTGACACTATGAGCTGTGGTGCACTATACAGTCACAGGACAGGGTACAGCTGCCGGGATGGGGGCGGGGAGCTGGGTGTTGGGAAAAGCCATCTGTCAAGGCATGTCCTGCCTACAGGTCTCACTCCATGGGCTGCCTCAGACCCCCTCCAATCCCCCAGGTCCCCGAGAAGCCAGACCTGTGTGTGGGGCAGAGGGCTGTTGGAAGGCTCAGCCGCCAGCTGGCAGGGAAAGAAGAGCCTCCCAAACACTTGGGCCAAACTCTCCTCTGCTCTGGGACTCCGCCTGGCCTGGCTTACTGCCTCCAGGTCAGAGATCTGGAAGCTCGTAGGACCTTGGGACAGGCTGGGAGGAGGCTGGTCCTCTGCCACCCTCTCAACTGCTGGCTGAGGCAGTGAGGGACAGTAGGCTCTTAATTTTATTTTCATCAGGTAGAGAGGGACGATGGGCCCTCTCTTCTACCCCGTCTCCAGCCCTCCATTAGCACTGCTCCCAGGCAGAATCTGCTCTTTCACTGGGCCACGCCAGGCCCAAGGCCCCTAGGGAACCTCTGCAGTGGTAAAAGGACTGCTTCTTGCTGTGGCAGAGGATGCTCCTGGAGACGTTCAGTTCTTTCCTCTTGTGATGGGCCACAAATGCTTGGCAGTGCCCTCACATCCGGGGTCTTCGGGCACCATCCCCGCCTGCTGAGGGATGTGCCAAGCCCAGATGCACCTCCTCTTCCTCCAAGTCTCTCCCAGGCTGCTGGTCCTGGTGGGCAAGGATGACCGCCCCTTGCCCCCCTAGGACTCGGACCCCTCTATCCTTCTACCCCTCCCATGCCCTCACTCTCCATCACGTCCCCAACCCTGGCTTCCCTTTTCATAAATTCCCAAAGAAAAGGAAGGATAAGCCAGACAGAAGCAACTCTGGCACCAAGAGTACCAAAAAAAAAAAAAAAAAGAAAGAAAAGGCAGCCAGTGGCGTGCGGAGAGGGTGTGAGGTGGCATGGGGGCGGAGGGGCGGGTAGGTGATGCATGCGGCAGTGGGATTCCTTATGAGGAGCGGGGTCCCCGTTGCTCCTTGAGATGGGTGAGGGATGCGGGGAGGGGCTCAGCAACTCGTCTCTGGACTGGGCGATCACAGGGAGATGAAGTCCATGGCCTGCAGGAGAGGCAGGGAGAGCAGGAGCATCAGCAGCCCCGACGTGTTCTGGGCCAGCAGGCTTATGCCCTCACACTTGACCAGTTTGTCTGTGGAGAGAGAATGGGGGGGAGGGACAGGGCAGGAATGAAGAGGGACTGTGATTCAGGCAGGCACAGGCCCGGAGCTGGGGCCCATTCCCTTGGGCAGGCTGGTGTCACGATGTCTTAGCTGGAACCAGGGCCGGTCTGCTCTAGGAGAACCAACTATTTTTCCCATTTGCAGGTTCCTGAGCTCTTGAACAAACATCATATTACATCTTTTATCGAGCATCTTCAAAAGGAAACTGTGGGTGAGGTAGCTAGTGTCATCCCTGTCTTCTGGGGGGGGTGGAGGAGGATTGGGGAGGCCAGGTGATCTGCCAAGTCATGGTAGGAGTGTCTGCGACACCGTTCCGCCTGTCTCACTGTGCCCCCAACCTTTCCCCCCATACACACAGTAGGCAGTGGTTCCCCAGGGCGCCAGGCAGCAGCTGCTGGGCGGGGGGAGGAGGAGAGAGGTTCTGGGGCTCCTCTTGTCTCTGGCCCAGCCAAGAGGACTGCCTGCTGTCCTAGCTAGCCCTCTCCTCCCTAGCCTCCCTCTCCCAGCTCACTTGGCCTTGTTGGGAGCTTGCCTCACCTCTGAGCACAGAGACAGTCTCGCTGGAGGTGACGGGAGGCTGGCCAGAGAGCCGGAGTTCACATGTGTACGTCCCCTCGTCCTTCGTGGTGAAGCTGGATAAGTAGAGGACCTTGATGTTGTACTTGCTGGTGAAGTTGGTTCGGGAGCGGTATGAGTGCTCAGGCACCCCCATAGTGCCATAGAGCACGTGCTTCTTTTTCTCCCGGGTCAGGCTGAACTCATACTGGATGGGCGAGGTAGTAGTATTCTCGTGGCGGCAGTCCAGACGAAGGCTCTGGTCCACCAGGCAGGCTGTCAGGCTGGTCACTTTCTGCCCACGGGCTCCCTGCAAGACTGGCACCAGCGGTGCCCACTCCCGAGTTGGGGGGGGGAGCCTGCAGAGCAGGGGGCCTCCCACCCACAGTAATAGGAGAGGATGGCCTGGCCAGGGAGGGCACAAGGGTCTGCTCTTTGGGCCCCTCTCCCCACCCCAGAGGTCCCTGTGGGCCACTTCCACTTTTGTGCTGCAGACCCAGCCTCCTTCCCTCATCTTCTTTACTCTTGGGCATTCCTGGGGGTGGGGTGGGGCAGGAGATCTTGGGGAGTTGATGTAGTCTCCTGGTTCCCATTTGGAGATTCCAGCTCAGTATGGGGCAGACTCAGTGGACTGTTTTTTCCAAAAACCGCCTCAGGCAGCCGGCAGATGAACTAGGTTACTCAGCAGATTTAGGGATGAAAAAGAGCCCTCTCTCCCTCAACCACCTCCCCCTTCTGAGGTTGGGAGGAAGAAGCTAGCTTCTCTGAAGGGAAGGAAGCCAAGGTGCTTGGAATCCCAGCCCTGCCCCTTGACCAGTACCTGTCAACAAAAGAGCGAAGCCGATGGTGGGGTTCATGGTGCCCGAAGCTCAGTCCTTGATCTGGGGGTGCGACAGTATAGGAATCAGCCAGGAGATGGGGCAGGTGGACCCACACTTACTGCTAGGGCTGGAGGCCTCTGGGACACATGGCCATGGCAGGCATGAAAGCTTCTCTCTGCAGTCCTCCCCTCCCACTTGTGAGTGAACATGACACTGCCACTTGGTGCTTCCCCCCTTGGGGAGAGTAAGGGGAGGGAGAACACACCGTATGATGGTATGTCTCTGTGTGGAAAACTTGGAATAAAGTGATTTTGACCATTTCCTTTTTCCTTCAGGAAGGCAGGGACATCCTATTTCCTAACTGTGGCAAAGTAGAGCTAGTGCGAAATTTACTACCTTAATCATTTTTTAAAAAGCTTTGTCTATTTTAGAGAGAGAGAGAGAGAGAGAGAGAGAGAGAGAGAGAGAGAGCACGTGTGCAAGGGAGGGGGGAGGAGCAGAGGGAGAGGGAGGGGGAATGAGTCTCAAGCAGATCTGTGCCCCCTGCCTAGTGTGACCCAGGGCTTGATCTCAGGACGCTGAGATCCCGACCTGAGCTGAAACTAGGAGTCAGTGCCTTAACTGACTGCTCCACCCAGGTGCCCCTGTCTTAATCATTTTTAAGTGTACGATTCGGTGGTGTTGTATTCACTCACATCGTTGTGCAGGCAATCCCCAGAACTCTTTTTATCTGGCAACACTAAAACTCTACCCAGATCTCCCCATTTGGGTAATTTTCTGTTTCTTGTTCAGAAGAAAATCCCTAATGCCCAGACAATTCCTGGCATATAATAGATGCTCAAAAGATCCTGAATGAATGAAGGAAGGAAGGAACTTTAGATACCCACAGGGTTGTGATGGGGATTAAGAAGAATGACAAACATCTGCCACTAGGACTGCTCCATAGTGAGTGACCCCTAAATGTTAATTCCCCTCCTCTAGAAAGGGCTGTGTGGCTGAGGTGCTTCCAGATGGGCCCGTAGTTGGCACACAGCTAAGGCATACAGTGCTCTCTGATTGCATATGTTCTCTGATTGCATAGGAACCAAGATGTTTCCACATGTCCAGCTCTCTGGGCAGGCCTCCTGGGCCTGCTGTTTTCCAGTCTGGCTTCAGTAGACTCCTTGCCTAAGCTCTGTGCCCTGCCTTTTTACAAAGCCTGGTCTGGATCAACGTCCTGGTGTCACAGAGCAGGTAGCCTGGCCTGTCCACACTGATGCTGGCCAGGGAGAGGCCACACAGGAGGGGCTTGCGCCTTGGAGGGCCCGTGGGGCCCTGATGGGTGTACCGCTGGCTGCATCCAAGGCCCCCTTGGCTCTCTGTCCTGCCGGCCCGGCGAGGCTGGGGTCCTGCAGCACCCTGCAGTCGGTACACTCTTTGGAAATAAAACCCGAGAGGGTCCCCGGGGTGCTGCTGGGGAAGAGAGGGGGTCGGCATCTGGCTTTGATTCGCGCACACTGAGTTACGGAGGTGCGAGCTCGAGATCTAGGAGGGAAAAGGGGAAGCCTGGGCTAGAACGGGGATGAAATGGGGCTGGGGCTGGAGAGGGATGGAGAGCCAAAGGGACAGGTGGAGAGCGGCAGGGGAGGCACAGATGTTTTCGTTTCCTCTGCCTGGTGTCCCCGCAGCCCAGAACCCAGACAAGTTCTGCACTCCCTCCCTCTCCAGTCCCCGCACCCCCCACCCCCGTGCGACTAGCCCCACCCTCATTCCGTTTCCGTATTCCACCCGTCTCCTCTCCCAATTGAGGTTCCCCTTCCCCCTCTCCTCCTTTCCCAGTTCTCCCCTCCCCCGTCTGCCCGCCTTCCAGTCCCCGCCCCGCGGCACTGCGGTTTCCCTGTCCTTTGACGCCCCGCACCCAGCCCGCTGCGAGAGGTCGCAGGGCAGAGATTCCCTCCAGCTCTCGGTCATCCGTTCTCTCCCGCAATGTCACGGCCCCCACCCCACGCCTTTGCGAGCTAGGTTTGGGGACGTCTGCGTGGAGAACAGAACCCAAGGCTGTCCTTGGCGCTTTTCGTCCGGGTTCTCCTCCTGCGCCCCAGCCCCAGGCAACCGTCCCCTTAGGGGGTGAAAACCGGGGAGCGCCTTCCATAAAAGGCAGGGTGCGGCACGGCCCCTCACCTGCAGCAGTTGCGTCCCGCTCCCCCCTACCTGGGAAGCAGACCCCCCTACCCAAGCACCGCGAGGCTCCTTGCCAGGGCGCCCCCGAACCTTTTCTCGAAGCCTCGGGTTGGGAGGGCTTGCCTGGGCGCTTGGGGCCTCTCCCAGCGCCCCGGGTCCCGCCCTGGCTCCGGCTCCCACCTGGGCTCCTGTCCTCCGCTGCTGCAGCCTCCCCCGGATGCGCCGCCGCCTCCAGTGGCAGCACCCTGCCCGCGCCCCGCAGTTTTCACCAGGGGTGGGAGTGGAGGAGCGGGGAGGGCCCGGGGACGCGGCCAATCAGAGACTGGGGGGGGTGGGTAGCGAGGAAGGATGGCAGCGGGAGGAGGAAGGAGGAGGCGGTCCGGTATAGATGTGGGAGAGTGGCCGTCTGCCGCAGAAGGCGGACCTCACCCTCTGGCTGGCAGGCCAGGCCAGGGATAGGAGGGCTCAGGGCCCCGAGGATCAGGGTGGGGCAATGCGGGGAACGCTAGTTGCCTTCCAGAACCCCGAAATGATTGCTCCCCATTTTAGGTTTTAACCCTTTCTTCTGACTTAGGCTTCAGAAGCCTGTGGGAAAACCAAGGGGTAAGGGAGTGGAGGATGCAGGCCAGCAACCCTCCCCTTTGGTCAGTGCCCCGCCTCCTCCCGCCTCCTCCTTTCCTTTTCAGCTGGAGCCCACCTCCCTGGAGCCTCCAGTGAGAAGTTTAGGAGTTGGAATATTCCAGGCTCTCTCCAAGGGAAGATGGTGGGGTGTTTTTCCACATTGGAGCAGCCCTTCAGAGGCAAGGCAGGCGCTGCATCCCATCCTTCCTGGTCCTGAGCCCTGCCCCACTCCCTCATCCATACTAGGACACCCGATCCTTCAGGGGCTTTCTGCTCTGGGGCACTCAGTCTCCCTCAGTTCCTGGGCTGGCACCTCCCGGAACAGAAAGCTAGAATGTTCTCGATTTCATATACTCATCCTGACCCTCCCCCCCCCTCCTCCTGCCCCACCTCGACCCTGAGAGTGTCTGTTTGTCTGGTCTTCAGACAAGAGAAGGAGTACTGTTTTCTACTGAGCACTGCGCCAGGCGCATTACATCCATGGCTGTGTTGACCCCACGACAATGTGCTGGGTTCATCCCATCCCACTCCGCATCCTGTTTCAATGGCTCGTAAGTGGGAGAACTGGCCAGTCACCCTGGGCTGTGGAACCCCATGTCCTCAGTGCTGAGGCACTCCACCCTTGCATCCCAGCCCAGTGGGAGGGGACACTGTGGAACTGCGGGGGAAGGGGAGGAGACAGGACCATCTAGAAAGGAATAGAGGAAACCAGGCTCTTAATCCCGCGAGGCGCTGCCCCTAGCCCTATCAATTCAATTTCAAGTCACCAGAAGCCTTTGGATCTTTTTTCTTTCTTTCTTTCTTTTTTTTTTTTTTCTCATGGCCAGTGCCAATGACTGGTCTCTCCCACCCACAGGTGAAGTGAATTTTTTTAATCAAAGGTTTATGTGTTTGATTTGCATCCTCATGGCCTCTTTGTGAATTCTGGCTGGGACATCCTGTGGGCTGGCCCTACCTCCCTGCCATCTGCCTGCCCATTCTCCTATTTCTTCACAGAAGTCAGCCTGGCACCTTAACTGCAGTTTCCATTACCGCAGTGCTACTGTTAGAAGTCATCCCTGGGCTAGCAAGTGGGAGATTCACTTCCCTCTCCCTCCCTGGGAGGTTAGGTGGCCTCCCGGCACTCAGAGTGATGGGACTTGCTAACTGGAACGAGCTTTGAGGACGGTCCAATCTAGGGGCCCTTCACTGGGGTAAACAAAAGAAGCTCCGGCGGCGGATGGGGGAGGTTTATGAAAAATGAAGTTGTCCCTGCCTCCCTGGGATCTCCCTCATCTAGCAGTACGCTGCCTGTGTTTGCACTTTTCACAAGCTCCACAGGGTCTGGGGAGTGCAGAACGCTGGTCTGGTAAGACCGTCTCTCTTCAGAGATCAGGTCACCTGGCTTATCGTTGTCTGCACAATGATTTTTAAGGCCCTGGATGTCCTGGCTCCTGGCCGTCAGCCTTCACCACTATCTCATCTTGCCCATTCATCTTCCGGCTACATTCCAGAAACACTGGCCTCCTCCCTGTCGATGCACATCTGTGGTCTCTCCTGGTTAACAGCTTTCTGATTCTCAGTCCAAGGGGGTCTTTCCTATTAGAGCACAGTTGCTTTAGGCTGGGGCCTAACCCTCCTCTCTCTCTCTCTCTCTCTCTCTCTCTCTCTCACACACACACACACACACACACACACACACACACACACACATGCACGCACAGGCACACATATGGATATATGGATGGGACTGGAGACAGTTCCTTTTTTTTTTTTTTTGGCAGAACATGTGGATACCCAGAGGCCTCTTTTTTTTTTTTTTTTTTTTTTTTTTTTTTTTTTTTTTTGAGAGAGAGAGAAAGAGAGAGAGCCAGGGAGGGAGGAGGGGCAGAGGGAGAAGCAGACTCCCCGCCAAGCAGGGAGCCCGATGTGGGACTCGATCCCGGGACTCCAGGATCATGACCTGAGCCGAAGGCAGTCGCTTAACCAACTGAGCCACCCAGGCGCCCATCCCAGAGGCCTCTTAACTACAGAAGATATCTGGGCTTTGGCTGGACACGACCCTGGCTGCTATTTCCTACTCTAGGGCGGAGTCTCTGAGTGTTGTTGGATGGAAGACCTAGCTGTGCTATTTTGATAAGGTTATGAGGACCTGGCCTACTTCCTAGGTCCCCAAGCACTTTAGTTCAGGAAGGGGAGGGGAGTGTGGACTCTAGAAGGTATGGCAGTTGTCTGTCACAGAGTGACAGAAGCCATCCCATCATTTTATAGCTGGGGACTGAGGTCCAAGAGGGGAAGGATTTGTCAAAGGACCAACAAATACTTTGGAGCACTACTAGGACTGGCTATATCCTAGACCTCCTGACTCCACATATAATGCTCTCCACTGCTCCCAGGGTGGGCCTTCTGACTTCTACTAGACTGATTTCACTGGTCCGTGGTGAACAAGAAAAGCAAGTACAGTGGGGGATAGTCTAAACATAGCTGTGAGGTTGCTCCCTTGTTCTGATCACCTCCTCTTCACTGTGTTGATAAGGGAGGGATTTTTACCCCTGGGTTTTGGAGATGGCTGAACACATGACCCCTGACACCAGACAGATGAGATGGACAGTAGCTTACTAGTCACGTATACTCACAGCCCAGAGGAGGACACCACACACAGAAGTTGCACAGGAGCGGAGTGAACAGCCAGTAGCTATGGGAGGTAGGCTTTTTTGTTAAACAATGGCTTGCTGAATAATTCTGTGGGTTGGCATGGAACTGAAGCCCACTACTCAGAGATAATCAGGAATTATGCCTCGTCCCCATGATAAGGAGGGCTGATTGGCTAGGGGAACTTATTAGCAGAAACTAAGTTGGAAGGAGGACTTGTGGTTAGGCTATTGAGGTGCTCCAGATTTTTCATGTCAAGACAGCACATACTGTTGAGTCCTAATTTGGGGCTAATTGAGGTCTTATGCCACATACCTGCCCTTCCTTGGGAAGGCCTATGCTTTCATGCTAAGGTTATATCTGTTTGCTTCTTTGAAGTGGCGGTGGTTGGTGATAGAAGGCATGTGTGTTTTTAATGTCCAAAGGCAAAAAAAGAAAAAAAGAAATTTGGTAACTTCTTGTTGAGCTGCAGATTTCTTTGAAAACGTGACTAGTCTATGAAATTCAAAAATCTTGGAATCAAGGGCTCTACACTCTGCTTCCTCTCCTAATCTCTAGTTGAGGTTAGCTCCCCAAGTGAGGTCACTCTCTGAAGAAGTGCATATTTGGTTGGAGAGTATGACAAAGAATAAAAGTTATCTCTTAGAACACAGGGCAGAGGGCAAGAGGACAGAGAACCAATGGAGATATAATATTTGACATTTTATTGATTGATTGTTTGATTGAAGGAGAGGGCGAGAAACATGGGATTTGTTCCCAGGACCCTGGGATCATGACCTGAGCCAAAATCAATAGTCAGAGGCTCAACTGACTGAGCCATCCAGGCGCCCCTCAACGTTTATTCAAAAACTTTATTCATGGGTGTATAATTAAATAATTAAAAGACATTATTGATCTAGGCGCAATGTTCTAGGCACAGGGCTAGACCCTGGAATTACACAGATCAACAGAGCACAATCTCTACCTTCAAAGGCTTGTCCAATGGTGGAGACAGAAATGGTATAGAGATAGTTAGAAAGCAGTAGGGTAAGGGCAATGGTAGGATGTGTATAGAGTATTGTGAGACCGCAAAGGAGGGGCAAGTAATGACCCAGTTTGTCAGAGAGGGAGGTGAGATATGAATTGAGTCTTTAAAGATGAATGAGAGTTGCCCAGGTATGGTAGATTGTTACATTAATGGTCTCCAATGAATCATGCATCCCAGTACCCATGCCTTTTGTGTGATTCCCTTCCACGTTTATTCTGGGCTTGGCCATATAAACTGAGGTGCCTCAGTTTATATCAACCACCATTTGGGATCAACTAGGCCCCAGTTGACTGCCACATGAGTGATCACAAAAGCATGTGTAATCCAAACTGATGCCACATAGAACAGAAATAAACCATCCCAGGTAAGCCTACTAAAGTGGTTCTAAAACCTGGATACAAATTCTTTGGTATCGCTTCATCAAGAAGTAAAGTCTGTGTCCCCTCATGAATCTCAATGGGGAGGTAACTGCTTCAGTCAATAGAATATGGCAGAAATGATGCTAAAAGACTTTTGATTATTTATTTATTTTTTAAAAAAAGATTTTATTTATTTATTTGAGAGAGAGAGTGCACAAGCCAGGGGGAGGGGAGTGGCAGAGGGAGGGGTAGAAGCAGACTCCTTGCTGAGCAGAGAGCCCAACATGGGGCTTGATCCCAGGACCCTGAGATCATGACCTGAGTGAAGGCAGATGCTTAACCGACTGAGCCACCCAGGTGCCCCAAGACTTTTGAATTTAGATCTTAAAAGGCCATATAGCTTTTATTTTGTTTGCTGGAACGCTCCCTCTTATGGCCACTGTATAAAATGCCTGAGTGTCCTGAGGCCATGCTGTAAGGAAGCCCTAGTCACATGGAGAGGCATTATGTAGGCACTTTGGTAGACAGTCCCAGGAGAAGTTAACCTTCAGAATCATTTCAACCCAGGCTCCAGACATGTAGT